ATGTAGCAGATGTGATATGTTACTGTGAATTTTGCATTTCATGAGAAGCTAAACACTCGAGTGTTTGGTGGTCCAGGCTTTAAAGGCTTGAACTCGCCTGGGCTGCACCTCTCCCATCACGTGTAACTGTAGAGCGTCTCTCCTTAGGCCTCAGCAAGAAGCACAAAAGATTTTCAAGGCAAACCACAGCATGGACACTGAAGTACTGAAGGCCAAGGTAGGACCATGTTTGATGCGTTTGTCAAGGCAAACACTAAAGCTGCTGTCTCGTGGTTGCACATGGCTATTCTTACTGTTCAGGTGTGAAGCAGGCGTTTATGATGGTCTCTGTTGATGTCCGAGGCTTCATAGACCTTTGCTAGTCCCAGATTGTCTTGTTCCTGTTTGTGATTCTTTGTGTTTGCTGATGTTTGTGTAGCTTCTGGGACTGGGAACGGCCCTGCTGGACAACGTTGATCCCAACCCAGAGAATTATGTGTGCGCTGGAGTGATCCAGACCAAGGGCCAGCAAATTGGCTGCCTGCTGAGACTGGAACCGAACGCACAGGCACAGGTACAGAGGGTCCCGAGTCTCGTCTAAGTGAGAAGCACTGCTGGCTGCGACGCTTGGGTCCGTGCTTCCCTGTTGTTTGCTCACTCTGTGTCTCTTCCTGTGTGCAGATGTACCGTCTGACTCTGCGCTGCAGCAAAGACACTGTGTCAAAGCGTCTCTGTGAGCTGCTGGCCCAACAGTTCTAGAGTCCACGCCTCCATGTGACCAGTACTCCTACCATCCCCACCAGCGACCTCTCCCTCAGACCCACCGCACCTGCCCTCCTTCCTCCAACAGAGAATCAGAGTAAAAAACCAAGAGTGTAACCTACATAAGGGAAAAGCAGCCGCTGCCAGCAGCAGCAATATTAATGTCATTCTTCCTGTTCCACATTCTGATTCTAGTTCATCCTCTACTTGTTTATTAACATAATGCTACATTATTGTTTTTGTTGGTTTACCTGTGTGTGTGTGTGTGTGTGTGTGTGTGTGTGTGTGTGTGTGTGTGTGTGTCCCACGGTTGTGGCTGGGGTCTCATTCTGCTCCATACAGACTGTGTGACGTAGTAATGCTGTGTGTGAGACATCGATTCGTTTATAGGACATTCCTTGAAGACCCTGCTAATGGCTCACCTGCCAACCTCTGCTTGAGCCTGTGGGACCTGGCAGTGAGCTGGTCTTGCATTCCCCCTGAAGAAGCACTTGAAGTGTTGGGGATGGCCTTTGAGGCACAGGCTCCTCCCCTCCGATTCCTCCCCCGTTCGTTTTCCACACACAATGTTCTCATTGAACTTATGTGTCGGTAAATGAATTGAATGCTTCCCAGACATTCCCATCAGCTTGTTTAGATGCTGATCATTTCATCCATCGTGAACAAAGTGAAGACTGCAGATAATCGGTGACCAGACCAGCAGCGACCCATCCATCGCCTTGAACGTGGTTCAGGTTTTGATTGAAAGCTTGGGGAGGCCAGCAGCCTGCCAGGTGTGCACAGTTTTCATTTGACTCCTGTACGACTGAAGCTTGTTTTTTCAAAGCTCGTCTCAAAGTAAAATCACGCCCCCACAGATGAGACCAAATCTTTTTCAAAAGGTGTTTGAACACCACGCTTTAGTTTTCCAAGACAGAACTGGCTACCTGTCTCCCCACCGCTGAAGAAGCGCCGTGCAACGGTGGGCTTATGGATAAGACCAGTCCAAACAGGGACTGTGGTGTGGGCTGCTGCAGCCGTGCCGCTTTGGCTTTCTTTTGTTTTATTCTCCAGAGAAATGCACCGCCTTAATTGGGATTGAAGTAAACATACATGGTTGCATCAAATTTACCTCGTGGATCCCAAAGTTTGTGCTGGGACAGAGAAGCTCTCTACACACCTAGCAACATCCCAGCTGTGACACAGATTTCAGTCTGGTCAGCCTAACGTTACAGAATAAATCTGGTGTTTACACAAACAGCTGATATTCAGAAGTTGCTCATATCCAGCTGTGGATCTGAAATTTATCCACAACTCGTCCTGGCTGTTGTGTCATAATCAGCACTGATGTTCCCGGAGTACAGAATGTTAGACACCCAGATGTCCAACACAACTGGTGTGTGTGTGCGTGTGTGTGTGCGTGCGTGTGTGTGCGTGTGTGTGTGTGTGCGTGCGCGTGCGTGTGTGTGTGTGTGTGTGTGTGTGCGTGCGTGTGTGTGCGCGTGTGTGCGTGTGTGTGTGCGTGCATGTGTGTGTGTGTGTGTGTGTGTGCGTGCGTGTGTGCGTGCGCGTGTGTGTGCGTGCGCGTGTGTGTGCGTGCGTGTGTGTGTGCGCGCGCGTGCGTGTGTGTGTGTGTGTGTGTGTGTGCGTGCGTGTGTGTGCGTGTGTGTGTGTGTGTGCGTGCGTGCGTGTGTGTGTAACCAGGTAAGAAAAAGAGCCTGCAGACATTTCTAATACATGGTCACATAATCTTCTGTGGCTGCGCAGCAATCACAGGACATAGAACTTTGTAGTGGAAAACGTAGTGATTTTGTCATTCTGTGCGTGTGTGTACATGAGTTTGTGTGCGTGTCTATGCAGTATCCACTAGCTAATGCAGCCTCATATATTGGTGTTAGGAACCTGTCCAATACCTGTGTTAGATTACAAGATTTACTCTGTAATGAAAAAATGTGAAGTAAAATTATGCCATATATATCCAAACTGATGCTTCCTGTCTCGTCACACTGACACAGTCTTCCTATATGAATGGCAGCCAGGCACAGGGGGCCACAAGCCAGTGCACTGCTAGTGTCTGCACATGCCCGGATAAATGGGGAGGGTCCTGATGTAACATGCAGATCAGCTTGTTTTGTTTTTTAAACGCCTGAACGCTCTCTAGCATTCACACTCTGCATCAGAAAGCAACCTGGGATTCAGACTGGAGTGGGATTAAAGTGATGATGAGATCACCTGATCTACCTGCCTGAGCTGCAGCCAATCAACAATCACCTGTGGTGCTGCTGGCCAACAGTGCACATGCAGAGATGGGACAAAGTACTGACGGCTGTATGAGACTGGACACTGAGGTGGGAGAGAAGGACGTATCTTTATACACTGATTGCAGACATGATGGAAATGTCAAGAAAACGGAAGGATTACTTCATCTTCTTCATGCTCATTCATCCAGCTAAGTAAATCCCCAACAGCTGATTCTGGCTGTGAGCTCAGTTCCTTGATCATTAACATGCAAAGGAACTGAGCTCACATTGTTCAGTGGGCTGGTTTCAGTCATTGTGCAAATGTCCCGTTTCTAAGGTTGAAACCTGCAGTCAGCTGAGACTGAAGAAGCCACCTGATGATGATGATGATGAAATGTTTCTCCACTGAAAGCGTCCAGATGAACAGAATCAACTTTTGGGGATTACTTCCATCATCTTCCTCCGTTCATGAGGAGCAGCTCATGAATGGACGTCCAGAGTAAGCAAGAAGTCTGGGTGGAAAGCCAACTGGTCCAAATCCATATGGAGGTAGAGGGATTTCTGAGTGAGAAGGCAGTGGGCTTTGTAGCCAGACTCATCCCTGAGACTGAAGCCATACCCAAGCCATGGAGAAGGAACCAGGGCATTTGTGTGATTGTCTCAGTCCTCAGGAATGTTTTCCCTAAATTCTTGGGGATCAACATATTTATTCTTTTTATTTTTTGGCAGATGTGAGAGAAGCTTTTGCATCGATTTTGGTCAGCAGTGATTTTCACCTTGAACCTCTCCTGTCGATGGTAGAAAGTTCCACAAGTCACCCGTAACTGCTATTCTGCAAAGGTGTCAGTCCCCTCATCACACAATCACGATTATTGGCCAGGTGTATGCGCAAACACAAGGAGTTTGGTTCTGATCGATGGTGTCTCTCAAGCACAACAATGTAAAACAATATGTAAACGACACGGTACACACACGCAAATATACAGGATTACAGAAATGAATACCACGGAGTCTGCATTAAGTGCAGTTGCAGTCTAGCAGTGTGACAGTTTAACTGTTTAGGAGGGAGATGGTGAGGGGAAAGAAACTTCCTGTGTCGGGGGGTCCTGGTCTGCAGGCTTCTGCACCGTCTGCCAGCAGGTCAAAGAGTCTGTGTCCAGGGTGTGAGGGGTCTGTGATGGTCTGCCCGTTTCCTGGTTACTGAGAGGTCACCCCAAAGAGCTGATAAACCTACTCTGTACATGTTTGACATCGAGCTCATTAACAGCAGTAACTTACTTACCCTGGGTCTACGTGCAGAAATGTTCGGCAAAGCAAGGAAATGGGATCCAGGCTGGAGGATTAGAGTTGCCAGAAGCAAAAGTAAGTGGGTATACAGGACAGCTACAAGTACCCGAGTATCTTGCAGGGCAATCACGATGAAGATGATGACAGACGGGAGAAGTGCCTGACATCAAGAAATCTTATCAGTAGCTAGAAAAGGTAGATCTACAGCACGGAGGCTGTCAACAGGATCCACGTTTCAGGCTGGTTGTGCAAAGGATGCTCCAGAGACGGTTCAGTGTAGTAATAGGATGCAAGCTGGGATACCTTTCACAACGTGAGGAGATCTTAGGTCTTAGTAGTATTAGGAACCTGCACATCTTCAGGGCACAGAGTGCAGACCAGGAACAGCTAAGATGCTGTGCAGAACCATCAAATGCTGCAAACCAATCCGCATGGTTTAAATTAGCATAGAAAGGTGGTAAAGAGTAGAAGAATGCAGGTTAACACCAGAGGGGGAGCAGTTAGCAGCATGCGGACAGGCAAACCTCGGCTGGTTATCCGCCATCAAAGCCTCTCAGTCTCATGTGCAGTGAGATGTTGGACTGTCAGGATACTTTGTTCATCCTCAGGGACATCATGTGGGTCACGGTTGCTCCACTACAGCAGCAGTAACACAAACAGGAGGTCAAAGCCGCTACTGCAGTAAGTACACAGGCCAGATGTGACTGGAGTGAACGTCATGTGCTGCAGCACTCACACTGGTGTCTGTACTGCTGAGGCGGCCCCACGGACAGCTGCGTCTGCGCGTGTGAAAGTGCGGCGGCGCAGTGATTGGCTGAAAATGACATCATCCAGTCCAGATCTATTGTTGGAAAGTTGATGAGCTCATCGTTGAGAATCCAGTGTGAGGAACACAGTGAGGAGGAAGGAGGACCTCGCTGCAGCGCAGCAGCTGACACCTCAGTAAGTACGGCGTGGATACAGCACGGATGCACCGTCGTGCAAAAGAGGAAACGCACACTGTTTGAATGTTTGTCTTCTAAGAACTGGTCACAGGACGTTTCACGCAGCGGAATTCTTTCCTACGGGTGTCGCCTGTGGTGCTGCAGGTATGGTCTTGTCTCGGGACAGAGAAATGGAGCGGCCCCCGCTGTCCGTCATCCTACCGCAGCTCTACCTCGGAGCAGAGAGCGACGTGACGCAGGTAGGAAGAGGACCCGTGCTGTCGCTATCAAAGACATAATAATGTCGCAATAACAGCTCCTGTGCAATGCTCTCACACAGCACAGCAGCACACGCGTGGCTGATGTGGACATTAAATAACATGAACTTACAGCTGCGCATGCTCACGTAAATCTGTTGCCTACTGAGCAGATCATTACTTCATGTGCAATATTATTATATTACCTTATTTTTAAACAATTCAAATATTTCACAAATTACGTGTGAAATATTTTTCTTGAGCACTTTGAGTGATTCTTTAATTTGTAACAAATAAAAAAATAGTGAAGTATAAAGTTAAAAGTGCTCTAAACAATTACCAACATAAATATGTACACAGAGACGATCACAGTTTATATGTGAGGTAGAGCACAGACAGCCAAGTTTCACTGTGAACTCTTGTACAGCAGAAACAAAGCGTGTGTGTGTGTGTGTGTGTGTGTGTGTGTGTGTGTGTGTAGGACCAGCTGGCCTCGCTGGGTATCTCCTATGTGCTGAGTGTGAGTCGCTGTAGCCCCCAGCCCTCCTTCCTGCCTGGTTCCAGGTATCTCCGCATTCCTATTGATGACTCTCTGTGGGATAACCTGCTGCCCTGGATCCCACAGGCTCTGCATTTCATTGGTAAGGCCTCACTCTCACATTACAGCAATAGAACAAGATTACCTCAGATTTCTAATGTACATGATCACTAAACACTCACCATGTTGTCATCATTGTGTTTGAACAATGCTTTACTTCTGTGACAGTGCAAGACGTTTGCATTCACGGCTCTATGCAGTCGGTTGAGTTAGCAGTGGCAATACGATAGAAGCTGCAGGCTATGAACCCTCATGCACAAGTCATGACGTTGTTTTTTAGATTTATTTTCAATTTTTAAATATTTATTATTGAATTTTTGTTTTCAAAAATGTAATTTGCAGTGTGGTTAGCTTTAGCCAATACAGCAGCTCTGTGTCCCGCTCGGCTGACTGTCACTATGCACTGTGTGTTCAGACGTAGCCATGTCGTCGGGGGCTTCGGTGCTGGTGCACTGTGCAGCAGGAATCTCTCGCTCCCCAGCTCTGGCTGTTGCCTATGTCATGTACAGTCTGGAAATGGACCTGGACCATGCTTACAGGTATGGCTAGTAGCACAAATTCATCCTGCAGAGGGGACTGAGCTCGACTTTGTCAAATAACATAAGAACACTGAAGAAGCCTTATTGATTTCCTTTCTAAAGCTGAGCATGAGTTGTTTAACTTACAGCTATCAGAGGTTTTCTGGCACTTTCACCACTCCGGTGAAATGAAGTTAACTCTGCTTATGAGTTTAAATATTTGTGGTCTTGACAGTTGGAGACTTTTACCCATGAAAGACTTTCTCTAAACAGTCCACAGCACATGGTATTCACACTTTTCTCTACAACAGTCAACAACTCCAGAGAACAATGGATGCACACCTTTGTAAAGGAACCAGTATACATAAGTCATGTTTTAGGACTTCTCCTCTCAAAGACCCATGTTTTGATATACATCAGAGGATCCAGATATTCCTGCCTTAACAAAGTATTTACATGCAGTTGTTGGAAATGTTTATCTTGCAGGCTGCAGTTGTTTCCTTCCCAGCTGTGTAAATCTGCACCTGTCTTAATCTTGACAGATCTCCTTTGTCCCACTGTTCTGAGTCTCGATGCATTTAGGCTTGTCAGAGGAAACGAGCAGATGTAGTCAGTCCTGATCAATAACAAGAAGGCTTTGTGAAGTTACAAGACATTATAGCAGCTTGAACACTTGCTAAACCTCTCAGTTAGTGTATGTATGCACTCTATATAAGCATTATCGAGACATTCAGTACACTCCAATGAGCATCTATTCACCTGTTATTCCTGTTTATTGTCGTACAGCCTGTAATACTGTGGTAACTGTCCCTGTAGCTCATTGCAGAGTACTACCTAGACTCAGTGTGACGTGTGAAATACTAGCAACAATAACCCACATCCTTTCTGTCCCCTTATAAGGTTTGTGAAAGAGCGTCGGCCCTCCATTTCCCCAAACTTCAACTTCCTGGGTCAGCTGCAGCACTTGCAGGGTGCTCTGAGCCAAAAGTCGCGTGGCCACGACCTCCTCATCCAGCAGCTGGCCAGTTGCCTGCCACCTGCTAACGACAGTGTGAACCTCTCTCACAGCAGTCAGAACAGTAACTGTCAAGCTAAGAGCGTCACCGCAGACTCAGCTCAGCACAAAGACAAAGCCCAGCAGAGACGCTGGCTGTCAGAGAGCGCTGACAACAAGCAGCAGCAACTGCGGACTCCTGAGTTGCCTCCCCGTCGTGACCTGCAGCCTGTGCAGAAACCATCGGAGGTTTCAGCTTCCCGTCCCTGTGAGCCCATCAACCCAACGCTAAAGGCCACCCAACTACAACTCCCATCAGGCTCTGCTTCTCTCTTAGAGAAACGTAAAAGCCTTACCCTCTCTTTGACCCCTTTGGGAATATGCCCTTCCTCCACAGCAAACGAGAGGCAACAAGAAAAAATGGTCGAGAGCAGGAAGACTGGCGAGCGCGCCGAGGTGAAGAGTTACCCTGACTCCTACAGACAGGCAGAGGCTATCCACAGGAAGCAGCGTCTCTCTGTCAGCCAGCACAGCAGAGCTGAGGTCAAGGAAAAGGGCCTGCTCTCACCTTTCAGCGTCACTCTCAACAAGCTGCTGGGTTGGGGGGAAAGGATACTGCTAGGAGGTGTTTTTGTGCACCCTGTGCAGATGGGACAGCCCGCACTGCCTTACAGGTGCTGAGGATACAAGGAAGCAGGTGGAAGGAGTTATCTGTGCATGTTTGTCAGAAGAAACCAAACTACACAGCTGATGTGCACGTGTAGTGAAAGAACCAATGTCTATTTATTTATTTATTTGTTGCAGAGTTTAATCTAAATGAGCTGAAAAGACAAAAAGCACCCGTTTATCATATTGTTGTTTATCATATTGTTTATCATTGCACAGCGATCCCTGTTTCTGTTGTTTTTAAATGTAGTTGTTGAAAGGCTTTTGCCACAATGGTTTGTAATGTATTTACTGACGAATAAAGAGGACATTTTAACCATGTGTGTTTGCCTGTTTCTCAGTGTGAAGGGACTCGCCAGCCTCTCCACCCAGTAAGCAGAGGGTTGCATAGAAACACAAGCATGCAGTGCTTTGAAGTGCCACAGTGAGCCAAGACTGGAGGTTTGCTAAAAAACTATTTGGACAAATATTCGTGTCAAAGCAGATCGGACCACAGTGGGTTTAAAAGCAAGTATGTGGATAAAGGGCAGACTTTCAGCTTGCATTCGAGGGCTTTAACAAAAGTGTAGTGTGAACAGGAACTGCATCCACTTTTATACAAGTTCCCACTTTGAGAGGCTCACAAATAACTGGGCGAACTAACATAGTGCAAATCCGTTTCCTGCCAGGTCTTTACCTCAGCTGTTGCTTCTTTGTGCATCTTTAACAACACTGCAACCATTGAGCATGTCCTATTTAGTTGTGTTGCTGCTTTGCTTCAGGCCGTTTTCATTGTGAGGCTGCAGCAGTATCACTTCACTGCGTGTTTACTTTGCCGTAACACACCTTCGGGATTTCTGAAGTATTCCACGCTGGAATTTCAGACGCTTCATTGTGTTATTAAAGCAGTTTGGTTCCGTTTCAAAGGGCGAATAACATCTTGTACAAAGTTTCACATCCGTTTAATCAGTGTCGTAAGTTCTCACGCTGCACGGGCACGTCCGTAGGAATGATGATGTCACGGATGCTCCGGTGACCGAATAAGGAAGCTGACACCCGAAAGATTAGTTTCAGAGTAGTTTTTAATTTGCAGCAGACGAAGGCTGCCGTGTGTTTGTCCTCGCGTGGGGAAAGTCACCGCCGCCTCTGACATCAGTGTGATGTAGTTGCTGCTGTAGTTTCTTGAGGAAAGAGAAAAGAGGAAGCAGTTCCGCCCAGAAGCTGACTGGAGGCCGACGAGAAAAGAGGCGAAAGAAGAAAAGAAAAGGCGACGGCGATCTGCTACAGTCCCGCTGTAAGGCCCAACTCAAAGCAGACCCGTCGGTGCGTGTTATTGTGCTGCGTGGACAGTGGGACTCCGTCAGGACTTTGCTTTACAGGTGTGGCCCCGAGTCCGTCGTTCGCACACCAAACTTCAGTTTTGAAAACCGTCCATGTTGGTGTCTCCTTACAGTTAGCAGGCTTGCTGCGAGACCGGGATTTAACGCGCCCCTGAGGTCCTGCGGTGAGCTCGGAGAGGTTCTGGTCCGGACTGAAAATGAGTGGAGACGAGGAAAGATTCAAACTGGTGGTTGTGGGGGGAGGAGGAGTGGGAAAGAGCGCCCTTACCATCCAGTTCATCCAGGTACTGACTCCACGACACGTGTAGAACACACTGTGGACCTGTCTGTAGGTTAATGCGTCGATCCACTGGTGGTCGATCCACTGGTGGGTCGTTATTGAGCGGTTATTTCCACGAACTCAACCTTGTCAAGGTTCAACAAGTGACCTGCATTTGGAACAGATGAGCTGTTGGTTAATGGTTCACCACTAAAGTCTTATTCAGCTGTTGAACAGCAGTCAAACTAAAACAAACACCAGCAGGCTTCTCCCTCCAGATGAAGTCATTCATTGTTAGAATCACAATAAAAGCAGTCAAGAGCTTAGTTACGCATCTGAAACCACCTCGGCCCAGCTGCTCATATTTAACTTGTATATCTATACTTGATGGTGCTTGACTGCTGCAACAGTGTTTAGCCTGGTGTTGGTAAACTGATGTACTGAGGGAGGAAACAGAAGGATGTAAACTTTCCTGGGTATAAACGACAGGTTACTGTTAGATGACTGCTGGGGAACATCGTGATGTCACAACCTCCAGGGACAAAGTTGAGCAGGAGTGCCAAGTTTAGGTTGCTCAGTTCCTGATCATACAGGAGAGTAGGTGGAGAAAGAAACAGGGGTTATCTATGAAACACAGTATAGTGTGACAGTAGATTTCCATTTGAAATATTTTTAAATACTTAAACTCTAAACATGTTAGCAGTGCACTTCAGTAAGTTGGGTACCTTCCACCCCGGTTCTGTTAATGTGTCGCTGGGAATTGTTCCGTTCTGAGTCGGTGCTTCCACACTGTATGGTAAGTTTCTTCATTACCTCGGGCAAGCTTTTGTTGCACTCTGTTTAACACAGAAAGGTCTGCATTAAACTGGCTGCCTAATGAACGGCTGTAGTACAGTCACCGAGCACTGTAGCAGTAAATAGTGGATTATAGAACACTGAAGGAGAAGTACTGACGTGGTTACATATTCAGTCTAAACGTAATAATTCTCTGGGCACTTTTCATCATTTTTGCTGCCTCACTTTTGTTCTCGCCAGCTGTGAGTAATATAAATAAATGCCTGTTAGGCACTGGGCTTGGTTATGAGAGGTGTAAAACAAGCCAAGCTGTTCACAGTGTAGTGTTGATGTTAATAACTCGGAGTGTGTTCCACAGTCGTACTTTGTGTCCGACTACGACCCCACCATTGAAGACTCCTACACCAAGATCTGTACCGTGGATGGAAAGGAGACCCGGCTTGACAGTAAGACATTACACTGGAGATATACATGTCCTAATTCACACAGTGTCAGAGTAATTGCAGGGTTTGGAAAAAGCTTTGTGTGAAAACAAAGGGTGTGTTACATTGTGATGTGATACAGGCAGTGTGTTTGCTCTCTGGATGTTTCATTTCCCTTGTTAGGACTTGTTAGTGGGCTGGTGCTGTCAGGGTGGTGTGCTGGGCCACACTGTTCTTTCACCACTTATTTGTGAATCATCAGACGCAGCAGAGGTGCTGTTTGTAAGACTCTTCCTCACCCTTCACAAACATCACACTTACCCTAATTGATACAGTTTAGTGATTTTTTTTGGTGAATGCAACAGTAGAGAATCGGTTTTAGTGAAACCACTAAGAAAAACACTTGTTTCCTTAGTGGGTGATTTTTATGACACAGAACAAGTGAAACTTCAGCTTAATGTTACAGATGTTCTGTTAGCAGTACAGGTCACCATGTATACACTATATTTGGAAAAGGTTGATTCTGTTCATCTGGACGTTTTCAGTGGTGGTTTTCATCCAGGTGTTTATAAGGTTGGAAACCTGCCGTCAGCTGGATGATGACGAAACGTTTCTCACACTGAAAACATCCAGATGAACAGAATCAACCTTTTCAGACTTATTTACCTGGATGATTGAGCGTGCATCAAGACATGTGTACACTATATTAGCAAAATTATTTGCTAGTCTGTCTACATATGTGTACGAAGTTGGGTGACATCCTATTCCTAATCCATGGCTTTAATATGATGTCGGCTCACCGTTAGCGGCTACAGGAAGGCTTTCCACAAGGGTTAGGAGTGTGTTCATGGGAATCTTTGACCGTTGCTCCTGAAGCACATTTGTGAGGTCAGACACTGATGTTGGCTCACAGTCTCTGCTAATTCATCCCAAAGGTGTTCCCTCGCATTGAGGTCAGGACTCTTTGCAGGCCAGTCACGTTCTTCCATCCGTGTAATGCAATAACTTGCTTTGTGACTGGTGCATAGTCATCTTGGAATGGGGAGGGGCTAGGGCTGTTCGATATGACGATATATATCTGACGATATAAAAACATCTATCCTTTCATTTTACGCTATCGTTTGTTTCGTGGTGTCGCAAAATAAACTGTTTACGGCAATATTCATGGTTCTGATGGTCACTGTAGTTATTATTAATTTTCTCTCTCTCTTATATTTAATATAACCACACTACGGACGGACAAGCGCCTGTTTTTATGCGTTGTCGTTAGCAACAATGACGGTAAAACCATCGCATGTCCGCTTGTTTATTTTCTACATAAACCTTTCACAATAAAGCTCAAGATCCTGTTGAGACTTTTCAAAATAAACGCAATCACATGAAAAAGTATGCAGAGTGTTTACGGATGAGAAGTAAAAAAAGAGTCGCCAGGTGCTAAAAAGTAAACCTTAGACTCAAACGTTAGAACAGGCTTTTCCCCGCAGCACGCCGTGTAATGAATACAAAGAAAACGGCGCCGTTACAACCTGTGTCTAAAAATGTGTCGCTTCATGCATCGGTTAAAACACTCGACTCCGGGTACACGGCGCCCAGCTGGAAACACTTCACCTACCCGAAATTCACAGAATTTACAGAAAATATTATTTTTTTGTGATTTATATCGTTACCGGGACGATGGAGGTTTTATATCGGGATATGAGATTTTGGTCATGTCGCACAGCCCTGGGAGGGGCCATTGTCACCTGTTCCCACAAAGTTGCGAGCATGAAGTTGTCCAAAATGTCTTGGTATGCTGAAGGATTAAGATCACTGGAACGAAGGGGCTGAGCCCAGCTTCTAAAAACAACCCTACACTATAGTCCACCGAACTTTGCATGTGGCACAATGCAGTCTAAGTAATGCTCTCCTGGTAACCACCAAACCAGGACTTATTCATACGTTTGCCAGATTAGTCATTGCAGAGAACATGTCTCCGCTGCTCTAGAGTCCAGTAGTGGCGTGCTTTAATACCACTGCATCCCACGTTTTGTAATGTGCTTGGTGATGTAAGGCTTGGATGCAGTTGCTCACCCGTTCCATGAAGCTCTGTATGTGCTGTTCTTGAGCTAATCTGAAGGCCACATGAAGTTTGGAGGTCTGTAGCAGTTGGGCCTCATCTGCTGACCCTGCTCTGACTCACCACTTTGTGTGAGTTGCTGACCTTCCTAAATGAGACACAGGTGAAACTTAAATAGTGGCTGATCAGCCCACAAAACGCAAAAAGGGGTAGAACACACAAATACCCAACTGAAACTAACATAACAAATCTCATCCCCCCCCATGAGGGGGGCAGGTCAGCCACTTATCAGAAGGTCGGTGGTTCGATCCCAGGCTGCCTCCTGGCTGCATGCCAAATATCCTTGGGCAAGATACTAACCCCGTGTTTGCCTACTGGTGGTGGTCAGAGGGCCCGGTGGCGCCTGTGTCCGGCAGCCTCGCCTCTGTCAGTGCGCCCCAGGGCAGCTGTGGCTACAATGTAGCTGCCATCACCAGTGTGTGAATGTGTGTGTGTGAATGGGTGTGTGAATGGGTGAATGACTGAATGTAGTGTGAAGCGCTTTGGGGTCCTTAGGGACTAGAAAAGCGCTATACAAATGCAGGCCATTTACCATTTTCCACCTATTAGCTCATCACTGAGGGACTGGGAGCAGCTGAGGTAACTGAGCAAACAAAGACAGATTAAATCATAAAGACACAACAGTGTAAACTAGACTGTGCACACTTGTTTTAGAATGCAGTGTTCTGTATGTACATTAGTTCTAAATCAAAACAAATTCTTTATTATCCTGTAAATTAAATCCTGTATTTAAAGAAAGAAAAGTGTAGGTGTAGTGTTACGTGTAAGCCTCTACACTGTTTGGCAGATATTCCCACGTGTGGCTGTAACTGCAGCATCACACTATAATACCACGTCACTGTAGAACATTTAGCAGCCAGAAAGTTTCACCACTGCAGTTCAGTTCAATGTCTTTTCTATAGCGCCATATATATATATATATATATATATATATATATATATATATATAAAATAAATAACAGTTGCTTCAAAGTGCTTAAATCACGGTGAAATTCAGTGAACTCCTGAGAGCAACCCATCCTTTCACAAAGTGTCCGTAGAAGTGCTCAGCATGTTGGGTTTTATACACCTGAGGCTGTAGAAGTGATTGTACCAATGATTTGGATGGGTGAGTGAATACTTTTGGCAATAATATAGTGTATGTCTGTGAATACTATGTATGTTTTGTATTTATGTGCATATGTGATCATGTCTCTGTGTGCATCAGTCTTGGATACAGCAGGTCAGGAGGAGTTTGGTGCAATGAGGGAGCAGTACATGCGGTCTGGAGAAGGCTTTTTACTGGTGTTTGCACTCAATGACCGTGGCAGGTACGTGTGTGATGTTTGTTTGTATGTCGCTTGTATAGAGTGCTATAAAGTTATACTCTAAAGCTATGTACACACGATGTAGCGATGTGGCAGCTAGAGACCACAGGAAGCAAGTGACTGAAGTGACTGCGAGTCAGCATTAACAATAGAATAGCCTTTTATTGTCATTGTACATGTACAAAGAAATTATGGGTGCGCCACAAACCCGCCGGGGCCGCGCGCCTGGGAGTGGAAAAAAAAATAGTAGAGATATCAGGAATAAAGCGCAACCAAAAGACGTATATACAGTCTAGAGAAATACAGTATATAGCCAACAACAGAAAGGGACATGTTGGAGAGCAAAGTGCTTGATTGGAGGTAGCACAAAGGAAAGACTTGGTCTGCATAGAGTCCGTCTGTGGTTGGCCTGAAACATGAGGGTAACTGAGACCATGGCCCAGGGTACGCAGCTGTTAGTGAGTCTGGGGCTGTGGGACCCAGACTGAAGACCACTGAATACCATCGATTGAGATGTGACCTGGTAGGAAATATCTTAGAGGCTCAACTGGAACCTGGAATCTCTTCAACCAGTCATCATCTTCAAAGTGATGTGCGATGAGCAGGCTGGTTCCTGTGTAGATGCAGTTTCATTTCTAGTAATATTTCCTTAGAGAAGGATGTATAACATGACAAGTCCAGCTCTGTGAAACCAATTCTTGTGTACAGAAAGGTCCTGGTTTCCATTAGTAAGTTGTTCCTGGGTCAGGTTTCACTTCATCTTTTTTCTTCTGTTTTGGGTGCTTTTCCTCCTGGGCACTCTTATGGTCCAGCTTTTGGTTTCTAATGTATTACTTCATATAAAAGACTGTCCCCATTCTCAGGAGGAGGAGAGAACCACAACTTTAGAGTGTGATGTAAAAGCCACATTTTATTCATCTGAAACTCAATTATGGACAAGAAAGACACAAATGTAATCTTTTTGTAATAATCTGGTCCTGTGTTATCTTTTGCCCATTTACTCTCAGAGCACCTGCACACTACACTGCAGAACAGGGGGGCGTGGAGTCCTCCAGCCTGCATGTCAAAGTATCTTTGAGCAGATGGTGCACACAGTTGCCGCCAGTGCGTCACAGTGTGTGTGAATGTTATATGACTTGTAATAGAAAGTGCTTCAAGTACTTAATTAGAACAGAAAAGCTGCATCTGTAAGTCCAACACTTCAGAAGAAACTCACCGTAGCCTCTGCTGTTTGGTAATGAATCTTTTTCAGCTTCAGCCGAGGGTTGAACCAGGAACAACCACACAGTAACAAAAACAGACTATTTAACAACACAGTATGTTAATATATAAGGAATAAGGAAGACTTTGTCTGGAACTATTAAAATGGATATGAAGGGCTATTTTAATCTGTGACTGGTAATGATTTCTGTCCTTCCAACTCTCAGCTATCATGAAGTCCAGAAGTTCCACACCCAGATCCTGAGAGTGAAAGACAGAGATGATTTTCCCATGGTGCTGGTTGGAAACAAGGCAGACCTGGAACAGCAAAGAGTGGTAACTAACAACAACCGATACTCCTCTATAATGTCATTTTTCTTCTATTCCAGATCTACTGCAGAAGGGAAGTTCTGGAATCTCAACAGTTTAGGAGATATCTGCAGTTTTATAAACAACTTTTCTGGCTTAGTCTCATTTATTCCACAAATTATTATACAAGCAGAATCAACTCCTGTAACTCAGGAGCTCCAGGCATCCACTTATCAAATGTCCAAGGTTCCAATTCCTGTAATCTGACAGTTAAAGTGTGCCTGTGACAGATGAACCTGCACCCCAAATTACTAAAAATAATATAGAGGAAGATTGGAAAATACAGATGCCAGTCCATTTACTCTATTAATAATTGGACCACTGGTTCAGAGACAGGTCCTGAAAGGACTGGAAAACCACAGCTCAACAACGTACAGACGTGGACAAAACTGTTGGGACCCTTCAGTCAATGAAAGAAAAACTCATAATGCTCTCACAGAAATAACGTTAATCTGACAAAAGTACAAATAAATACAAATTCGATGAATGTTAACCAATGAAAGTCAGACCATGCTTCAACAGAATTATTTAAAAAATAAATGCAGGGAGCTAGGGCTGCCACAAACAATTATTTTTGCGATTAGTCGACTAATCGGATCATCATCCATTGGACGTAAAAGTACAGCTTATTGCACCAGCAGCATCTGCTCGTATATAACTATCATTATCTTACAGCTTTAAGTGTTTCAGGTTTGTGCTAACTAAAAGTAAAGACAAGATGATGGTTTGTTGAATTTAAATGAAATCTGCAGATTGTTTCGGTGAAGTTTAATAAACTCCTTGCTATCTAAAATATAACAGGACACCGGAGTAAATTCTCCAGCATCTCACACTTCTGATAATCAGCTGTCTGCTTGACGTTTATTCAGCTGTGTAAAAACTTTAATCTCAGCCAAACCGATTTACTCAGGAACAAATAAAACACTGAAAAAAGCCAAACAACAACATTTTTAAGTTATCTAAGTGACTCATATATCATGTTTAACCTGAGTAGCGAAAGACGGCGGTGGGTTTGAAAACGATTGGCCGGGAGTCCGGTGTTCTCACGGCGCTACTGAGCCTAGCCCCCGGCTAGCTATCGAGCTAGTGGGTGAGAGAGAGAGAGAGAGAGAGAGAGAGGGGGAGAGAGAGGGGGAGAGATGTGCGTGAAGTGTCTTTTTTTTTTTTTTTATAATCCTGGTGGAAGCAAAACAGCGACAGTCAGAGTGAATTCATGACGATGTTTACGTGAAGCGTAGTTTGGATCTTCTTTTGCTGCTGGTTTACTCAATATTGTTTAGAGAGATAAAACTAACAGCTGTAGAATCGGCGCAAAAAGGGCATGAACACAAAGCGTGGAGCCGCCGAAACATCAGAATCAGCGAGCTGTCGGCTTTCAGCCCCGACCGTGTCCGTGCCGTCGGGTGAGAAAGCCACATCTGACTGATTCTGATCCATCGGTGGGTCCACGCTTTGTGTTTACATCTTTGTGCAGAGGCCGTGTTGCTGCTCTCATTTACTGTTTTACTGTTTGGTGGTTGTTGAAATTTTGTGAGGTTTCACCTGAGATTCTGGCGTTTAGGGCAAAATACATTTATATAAAAAAATCGATTCAGGATCTTAATCAGAATCAGAATACTTTATTGATCCCTGGGGGAAATTATTTTTTGTTACAGTGCTCCATTATAAACCAACATTAAGACAAGACAGACAATACGCTAACTAAGAATAGTACAATATATACATATATATACATACATACATACATAAGTCACTTATAAATAAATAGTTGGAAAAGAAACATGTGTAGTTGTAGCAGCAAACAGTGTGTTAAGTGGATGCGTTGTACAGGGAGATGGCCACAGGCAGGAAAGATTTCCTGTGTCGTTCAGTGGTGCTTTTCGGTAATCTCAGTCTCTCACTGAACGAGCTCCTGTGACTGACCAACATGTCATGGAGTGGGTGGGAGGTGTTATCCAACATTGTCTTTATCTTGGACAGCATCCGCCTCTCCGACACCACCTTGAGGGAGTCCAGCTCCATCCCCACAACATTGCTGGCCTTACGGATCAGTTTATTAAGTCTGTTGGCATCTGCGACCCTCAGCCTGCTCCCCCAGCATGCAACAGCATAGAGGATCGCACTGGCCACCACAGACTCATAGAAAATCCTCAGCATTTTCTGGCAGATGTTGAAGGACCTCAGTCGCCTCAAAAAATAGAGACGAATCTGGCCCTTCCTGTAAAGTGCTGTGGTGTTTTTAGCCCAGTCCAGTTTATTGTCAATGTGTACTCCAAGGTATTTATAGTCCTCCACAATGTCAACACTGACCCCCTGGATTGAAACAGGGGTCAAGTGTTTCCTGGTCTTCCTGAAGTCCACGATCAGTTCCTTGGTCTTTGCCACGTTGAGCTGCAGATGATTCTGCTCACACCACGTGACAAAGGAGTCGACCACAGCCCGGTACTCTGTCTCATCATCCCTGCTGATGCATCCAACCACCGCAGAGTCATCAGAAAACTTCTGAAGATGGCGGTCTCTGTGCAGTGGCTGAAGTCTGTGGTGTAGAGGGTGAAGAGGAAGGGGGAGAGGACAGTCCCCTGTGGTGCCCCTGTGTTGCTGATCACCTTGTCAGACACACACTGTGGGAGACGTACATATTGTGGTCTTCCTGTCAGGTAATCAACAATCCAGGACACCAGAGAAGCATCCACCTGCATCGCTGCTAACTTATCACCCAGGAGGGTCGGCCTGATGGTGTTGAAAGCACTGGAAAAGTCAAAAAACATGACCCTCACAGTGCTCGCCGGCTGGTCCAGATGGGTGTAGACACGATTGAGCAGGTAGATGATGGCGTCCTCTGTTCCGAGACGAGGCTGATAAGCGAACTGAAGGGGATCCAGATGTGGTCTTACTATGGGTCGCAGCTGGTCCAGGATGAGCCTTTCCAGGGTCTTCATGATGTGGGAGGTCAGTGCCACAGGCCTGTAATCCTGGGGGCCACGGGGACGTGGCGTCTTTGGTACAGGGACGAGGCATGATGTCTTCCACATCACCGGGACCCTCTGCAGACTCAGACTCAGCATAAACAGTTTATGAAAGACTCCACACAGCTGGGGGGCACAGGTCTTGAGGACGAGGGGACTCACTCCGTCTGGTCCAGCAGACTTGCCTGAGTGAAGTCTCCTCATTTGCATCTCAACCTGGTATTGAGTGAAGGTGATGGGTGGGGGAGGGGTGTCAGGACTCTCACAGGAGGCAACAGCGCCATGTGAATCGATATCACGTTATCCAAGCCAGAATCGATTTTAATCGATGAATCGATTATTAAAACCCACCCCTCTGTTCAGATACTTCCAACAGGTGTATCTACTAAAAATCTCAGAATCTGTGACCTTGACCTCAGTGTCCCCAGTGTTTTGGGTTTTTTGTCTTGTCCCACAGGATTTTTAAGTCTTCTGCTTGTTGAGATTCCTTACCTTCATTTTTTTCAGGACAAAGTGACAACAGTGACAAGTTTTCTGCATATTTTTACAGGATGACAAGAACAGCACTGGATCTCAGACGTGATATTGTTTATTGTGTCTGCAGATACCCAAGGAGGACGCACAGGCGTTTGCCAGAGAGAACAGGATCCACTACATGGAGGCCTCGGCGAAGAATCGCTTCAATGTTGATGAAGCCTTCTTGGAGCTTGTGCATATTATTAGGTACAGCCCTTATTTATGAAAGTTTGTTTTAGTTCACGTCCCTGCTGGGACTAACGTCGTTTGAAGCTTTGTAAGATCACAAAAGACGCAGGAATAAGTAGCAGGATTTAAGAGTGTAATAACGGACTGAAACAGAAGATGGCAGCACTGCATGTACAGCTCAGTTTCCAACAATGGCGGCAGCTAGCTAGTTTTAATGTTACTCTTATTATTCTTTCTGGGTCACAAAATAAACGTTTAACATATTTTCAGGCGAGAATGTAGCTGTGTAAACATCAAATATCTGCTCAGTTTATCAAGACACCGCATATTTTCAAAAGCGCTCCGACGTTTTCGGAGACGTCTGTTACCCACTAGCTCGATAGTTAGCTGGGGGCTAGGCTCACTAGCACCGTGAGAACACCGGACTCCCGGCCAATCGTTTTCAAACCCACCGCCGTCTTTCTCTCAGGTTAAACATGATATATGAGTCACTTAGATAACTTAAAATGTTATTATTTGGCTTTTTTCAGTGTTTTATTTGTTCCTGAGTAAATCGGTTTGGCTGAGATTAAAGTTTTTACACAGCTGAATAAACGTCAAGCAGACAGCTGATTATCAGAAGTGTGAGATGCTCCAGAATTTACTCCGGTGTCCTGTTATATTTTAGAAAGCAAGGAGTTTATTAAACTTCACCGAAACAATCTGCAAACTTCATTTAAATTCAATAAACTATCATCTTGTCTTTATTTTTAGTTAGCACCTGAAACACTTAAAGCTGTAAGCTAATGATAGTTCTATAAGAGCAGATGCTGCTGGTGCAACAAGCTGTACCTGTACGTCCAATGGATGATTATCTGATTAGTTGACTAATCATAAAAATAATCGGTGACTATGCTGTAGGAAGTAGTGGTCACTCTTATTACAGCAGTGTTTCCCAGGACTAATCAGGTGGAACCAGATAATCTAACACGGCACACCGAAGCCACCGGCGTGCGTAACGGGTAGCAATGACATTCTCTTCCACTAGAGGGCAGTACAACCACCTGCTCTAATAAATGTGTTGCCAACTAAGTAAAACAGAAGAGGACAAAGAAGAACTTAAATAACAGTCATGCTGTGAGACTATGCAGCGCATAACAGCAATAGATAAATTTAAAAAGAAAAAGTGTTCAGTCTGACCTGGTCCTGGAGAAAACGCGACCCAGATGAAGGCCCTAGCATGAGTAGTGGTCAGAAGGAAGCAACAAAGGTATACTGGGACAAACCGAGCCAGTTCTGCTATATTTGGTGGAAGAATGATCCGTATGGTTTTTGACATTTCTGTTTAGTGGAGTGCTGCGGGATTTTTCTAATGTGAAATATGAACTGTGCCTCTAAAGCCTGAGAAACACTGTATTACAGCACCATTACCAACTTGGGTTTAGTATTCATATTTTGGCACTGGGCAAATGTTGGCATGGCATTTTATAACCAAAGCTAACAAATTGTGTCAAAACCTGTGACAACAGATACATCGTTGGATTTCGTGACCAAGAATTTTTCTTACATTATTCAAGCCAGCATCATATATGGTTGATACTGAATCGCCTCTGTGAATAGGAGCAAAGTGTGAGGATGATTAATCCCTTTATCTGTTCTCCTGCTTTACAGACAGTTTCAGGAGATGGAGAGCCCTCCTCCAACTCATCACACAGGGAAGGAGAAAAGTCGTGGCTGTCCCTGTGTCATCCTTTAAGCACTATTATTACGAATACCAAAGCCTCATTCCTCTGCAGAAAGGTGTTTTTGTGTGTACATATGAGTGTGTATGTGCGCAAGAGAGAAGGTGGATCAGTTTCTTTCCAGATGATTACATTTGCACTTTTGTTAAAAGCAACATTTAATTTGGTTTAATTTTAAATAGAGAACTGAAAGGAAGAGGTGTGATCAGCAGCAGGGCGGCACTTGTGACGCAGATTAATAATAACGTTACAACACAAATCATAATTTGTGTCCACAAATAGAAATATCACCAAAAAATGTAGTATATAATTCACTCTTCAGTGATGCTATTTTAAACAAATCCAGATACCAGCATCTGCAACACCACGGCATCCATAACTGTCTGAAGAAATGACATTAAATGTGCTATGTGCAAAAATTAGCATGTCATAAATGGACAAGTGCTGATTTTCCCCTTAGCATGGTTAAGTCGTAAGGGCCAAAGCGATGCCATTTTCCATGCCCTCCTGCAAAGGGGCAGGAGAGCTCCAAAGAAGTATTATTATTCAAGACAAAAAGAAGAATCATAGCAGAAGCTGGAGTCAGTCTCAAAAGACGAACAATATTGAATACATCCATGAATAACATGTCATTTAAGATCCTGATCAAATGACAGTATTGGCCATGTGTTGTGCGATGGCTGCATCGTTGCATCGTGGTACTCTATACTATGTATTTGGGGGGTTTTGTACTTTTTCTTTGTATTTCTCTACTTTATCATCGTAATTGTGAAAATGCAGTATAAGCGTTTTGAGTGCTCCAGTGTAGTAGAAAGTGCTACAGAAGAACCTGTCCATATACTGGAAGGGTGTGGTCACAACTTCGTGGGTCTCCAGGTGGCGAGAAGCTTGATGTCCTAAGAACAGTTAAGATACTGAACAGAACCCGAAAATATATTGAATTAAGTCACTTTTATAAACTATTAAAACATTTATCTGAACTTTATTTTTCTTTTGTCTTTTCTCATAAATGTCTCACTGTAAACTTTGTTGTGTCACCTTTTACTGTCAGTCTATGAATTTCAGAGAATTTACACCACCATCTACGAACTGTTGTGTCTGTGTGCTGACACACAACAGTAGCAGTGTGTCTGTGAAGGTGCTCATCCAGGTCATTGTAATCTAAGGAGCTTGAAAAGAAAAGCGTCTGGACTTCTTTAAGTTGCTTGAAGACGATTCCCCTCTCATCCGAGAAGCTTCTTCAGTTCTAAGGTCAAATGGTGGAGAGTCCCAGATATAAACCTAGTGGGAGTGTCCCCCCACAGAGGGACAAAAGGACCCCCTGATGATCCTCTAATCGCCTGAGCCAAGGTGTGAAACTGGGTGTGGGTCCCAATCAGCCAGAGTTTCGGGTGTGTTCATTGTGAAACCTGGCCCCACCTTATCATGCGAATTCCTGAGGTCAGATGGCCCAGGATGTGAGTGGGCGTTAAGGCGTCTGGGAAGGATCTCAAAACTGGATTATAGATGGCAGAGAGTTGGTGTCGTAAACCCCGCCTCTGTTCAAAGATGGTCGCTCACAGTGGACATAGATGGCTTCTTTCACTCCTCTTTCAAACCATCTGTCCTCTCTGTCCAAAATGTGAACATTGGCATCCTCAAAGAGTGTCCTTTATCCTTAAGATACAGATGGACTGCTGAGTCTTGTCCTGTGGAGGTGGCTCTTCTGTGTTGTGCCATGCGCTTGTGAAGTGGCTGTTTGGTCTCTCCGATGTAGAGGTCTGGGCATTCCTCGCTGCACTGTACAGCATACACCACATTGTTAAGTCTGTGTTTTGGCGTTTTGTCTTTCGGGTGAACCAGTTTCTGTCTGAGGTATTGTTGTCACTGAGGAGTGTAGTGATCTTTGTGTGGTAATCTGTTGTGTTTGGAACAACAGTGCACCTTCCCTTGCCAGCTGGTAATATGGTGATGTTGTGGTCTTTGCTCAGGGAAGCGATGGCCTTCTTCTCTTGTATTGTGAGGTTACATGGAGGGACTTTAGCACTGGGGAGGGAGGCTGAAACTTTCAGCTCTGTTTCTGTTTGTGACCATTTATTAATCCTTGTGGTGGTTTCTGTGGCTGTGATGAGGTCCACTATGGGCAACTGTTGAGGAGAAATGGCAAAATTAAGTCCTTTGTCTAACACTTTCTTTTCAGGTTCAGTGAGATTCCTGAAGAGGATCATTAAGGGGTCCTTTGTCCCTCTTGGGGGGACACTCTCATAGGGCTTAAATTTGGGACTTTCCACCATTTGACCTTAGAACTGAAGAAGCTTCTCGGATGAGAGGTGAAATGTCTTCAAGCAACTTAAAGAAGTCCAGACGCTTTTCCCTCCAAGCTCCTTAGACCAGCGCTGCCCAACCCCCGGGCCACGGACTGGTACCGGGCCGCGAGAGTTGAGGCTCTGGTGTGAAATGTATGGTTTTCAGGGTTTTTATCGTTAACTCTGTTCCCCTGGGTTTTTCCGTGTTGTAGTTGTGTGTCTTATTTTGAAAGAAATATGCACGCGTTACCATAGCGACCAGAGAGCATTAAGGGGCAGAGAGGAGGACGTTACTCAGTGTTGTTGACGCATTTCAGGAGGAAGCTGCTAATAAAGTTACACAATTACACAGTGAATTCACGTCTATTATGATATTTACAAAATACCAGAGTTTTTGTCTCGGTCGTATCATTTTGTTGTATTTATCCGCCTTAAAGGCCGGTCCGTGAAAATATTGTCTGACATTATTTGGTATTTAAAATATTTATATGGTTGTTAATTAATCTAACGCCCATAGACAGGTGACGTCACCCTGTGGTTTTTGCCGTGGCGTTTTGGAGCTGATGTTACAAGCGATGACTGGAGCTGCATGTTGTTGGTTAACAACTTAAGTGATGATCACATATGTAAAATATGGACAAACAAGACGCGTTTCTATAGACGAACACGGGGGTTTACTCGCTGAGAGTCCACGCAGACGTCCGTCCTCGGTTTGTTGAAATGATCCACATGAAAACAATAAATGTATCATTTCCTGCCGTGACGTACCGACACTAGTGTTTCACTGTTTCAGTAAAACTTCACACTTCGTGTGGATCCGCGCTCCCTGCCCTGTGCGCACTCCCGACGCAGGGGATGGGGGGATACCCTAGCTTGGCACGGCAGGTTAAAGGCTGTTTCTACACTCGCTTCTATAGTTACAAGGCAGACGTGTGTTGCTTGTGTATTGGACATGTTGACATAGACAGCATATTGTGAGTAAACAGTGAAACCAGTTTGTGGAGGTTCCTCCCTTCAGGTGCAATGCTGTCCGACAGGTTTGTTGTTTCCTGATCGTCTCAGCGCAATAAAGTGCGCAATGAAGTGGAGTAACTATTAGCTCTGTTTTTGGTGAAACCAAGAGAAATACGTTTGTTTTTCTTCAAGAAAGCTTTGACAGATGGAACAAACTGGAGCCAAATGGAGCAGCTGTGTTGGACAGGTCAGTGTTGGAGGAGCATCTTCATACTCGGGCTTCTAACTACAAGTGTTCTCACAGGTGCTCTTGCACTTTTTCTGTGTAGCTTTGTGCTTCGACAGCCGCGTTATTGTTGCTGTGGATGAACGGACTGTCCCTCGTGCAGATGGCCCACTGCTCCGTCACGTACAGACACCAACCAGGTAACCCACACCTGTCTCCTGTCACTTCATAAAAATTAGCTTTATAATTTGTGGTAATGCTTCAGTTACACAAACGTGCCTTGCAACAACAGCACGACTAGAGGAAAACCAAACTGCTCTTCTGTGAATCTGAGTAGTTTATTGCCATTAAACATCAGATGTTAAGTGAAATTAGAAGCAGCTCCTTGGTAGCAGGATTTAGAATAAATAACAATAAAAACAAATTCTATATAGCACCACTGGCTTTCCTATGAAGGAGTATTAGGGTGCCATTAAGAAAAAAGCAAAACAAAACATTGTTGTGAGAATAAAGTCAAAATTTTGAAATGTGTAGATTACAGCTGTTTCAAGACAAACGGCCACGGCTGCTATACCATCTACAAACATATATATATATATATGGTGTATATACATTCTGCTTTGTGTAGATGAGCTGGTGAAGTTGTACTTCAGAATCAGTTTTCATTACAAGGAAGTGATTTCTCTTTAAGCACATAAACACAGTGGTGATGAGCAGGGCGCCATGAGGAGGAGAAAGGCAACCAGTCCTAATGCTCCATCCTACCTCTCTGTATGACCCACGTTAGGTTGATCTTTCTAGTACGCTGGGCCTGCACAGCTCACTTGGATTGTTTGTGGTACAGATTGAAAAAAGTACTGGAAACATTAGCATCACACAGTTGTTCATCCACATATACACAATACAAATGTCTCATTCCCCCACATCGCTAAGATGCTCCTCTGGAGTGAGATGTGACTGTGGTTGTCAGCATGAATCTCCAGGTAGGCTGTGCGTGAAACTAAACGTTGGTCAGCTGGAACTAACAGTCCCACAGCACCGAGCACCACAGGAAGCAGAATCCTGAAAGGATCTTTCACAGATACCTTAATACCACGCTACCATCTGAATGTTGCAGCAGAAATCAAGACTTATCACAGCAGGCAGCATTTTCTAATCTTCTGTGGTCTAATTTTGGTGAGCGTGTGTGTGAATTATACCTTCATTAGATCAGAAGTGTCAGAAATACTCAGCAACAACAACGTTATTATTAATAACAATAATTACAATTATAATTCATAATATACATTTTTAGAAGTTGATAGGGAGACTGCTACCACACTGAAAATCTCCCGTTGGCATTAAAGCAGGTCCATGATGGACCTCCACAGAAAATTAGCATTCAAATGTAAATAATCCAGTTTTGTCCAGTTTCAGCCACCAGACACTCTCAGCTTTCACAGTTTGTTTTTTGTGATTTTGTGTGAAATCATAACACAACGTTGTTGCTGACGGATATTTTTTTTAACATTTACATATGTGTGTGCAAGAAAATGCCGCTTCACTGTAAATGTGTTGGAACCGATTGTCAGAGATGTGAATTTGGGAGCTCCGGAAATGCACTTATAAGTACTTGTTTACTGAAGTCAAAGCTTTGTTTGTGGAGAGCACAAGAGTTTTTAAGGATTACAATTTGAATCACCATTACTAGACTAAGCACGCACAGGAATACAAGAACTAACGAAGAGCAGAAATGGACATCTGAGCTCGAAAGCAACAAGGACTTTTTGCCAAGTTACTCATCCAGCGATGGAGCAGTCAAAACCAGCTTTGTGATTTTAAACAGAATCACAGAAAACCCCAGTATCCCACTGTCTGAGGAGGTTTTAGTGGGGTCTGATGGCTGAAGCTCCCTGAGTACATTTGAGAATGCATCCCTCGCCACATGAACCATAAAAAGAGGGGTCAGAGATACTACGGGAAATCTGGAGCTTAGACAACAGACTAGAGAGTTTGACTTTTGATGTCCGTATGAGTTATGTTTTTGATTATCAGTGACAGTGAACTACACCCTGTAGGAGATCCAGTGTTGGTGGATGAGACAGAAGCTGCATCCTTCCTGTCCCGTTCACTGCTCTATAACAGCTGGGACTTTGAGCTGGTTGTGCCTGGTGATGTGGAGAGGGAGTGCATGGAAGAGATTTGCAACTACGAGGAAGCCAGAGAGATTTTTGAGGACACTGCGAAGACGGTGACTCTTCTTTGACTGTAGAACCTGTTTTTAATCTGGAGTCTTAGAATGAAAAACTATCAGTTTAATTTAACAATTATTTACACGTTTATCACCTAAATATACATGTTTTTTTTATTTTAATATTTAAAATACAAAACCTTTTCTCTTAGTATTTGAGCAATTTGACTTAACTTATTCAAGGTGACCTCTTCATTTAATCTTCATTTGCTTCCATTTCTAGGAAAATTTTTGGAAAACGTACACCAATCAAGGTAATACTTTAGCATCACTATGCTAACCTTTTCATTTCATTGTTCAAATGTGCATACTAATGACGAATGTATTTTTTGTAGTAGTTGGGATGACACTTTCTTTTTTCCATATTGCTATTTTTTGTCGATTGTATATTTTGTATATTTTCTAATTTTGCTGTTTTATCTACGTCTTCAAACCTCCAACAGTATCACGACTGAAGTCATTGCTGTAGTGATTGGCTACAGATTGTCTGACTGAGTAACAGGAGAACTATTGAAGAAACATTTTTTGAGTGGGGTGATGATGTTTGTCTTTGAAGGTAGTGCAAACAGACTGGACGTGTCAGGTCTGGTGGCAGGGATCCTGGCTGTACTAGTGTCTGCTGTAATTGCCACGGTGCTGGGAGTGTACTGCTACAAAGCCAAGAAAAAGGGTGCACGGAGGTCTGGCCGGTACGTTTGCTCCGATGTGGATCATCTGGTAACAGAGAAATGTGGAACAAAGTGACACCCTAACCGACACCAGTAACATTTCCCAGTAATGTCTTTTAAAAACCAGTAGACCATTAAAAAAAATACAAAGTAGACAAGAAGACAATATTAATCCCTTAATCTTAATCCATAGTTTGTGCAAATTTATAATTCTTTATTGTTATTTTTCCCTTAAAGGTCCAGGGGATGTGGGAAAGTAACACAAAGTGTCCGGGTTGAAAAAAGGAGACATGAGGGCAGAATTGTTTATTAAAGTTTATTAATATTTTTATTAGTAATTAAACCAAAAGAGACGGACAAACCACTGTCACCTTAAAAAATGAAAGAACAAAACCCAGGTATGGCTCACTAAAAATTGAAGCAAGTCAAAAAACTTTAAATGACAGAAAAATACAGAACTCACAGTCGTAGCATGGATGCATCAGAGAGCAACTTGGGGTTAGTATCTTGTCCAAGGATATGTGGCTATGTGTCGACCAGAGAAACCAGGGCTTGAACCACCAACCTTCTGATTACTAGATGACTTGCTCTACCGCCTGAGCCACAGTCACCCCATCAAGGCTCACTGGGACTAGAACTCTCCTTTTTTGGACCTAAGTACTTTTGCTTTAATGGTGAGTAGAGTCAGCTGTACCAGAATCACAGCAAAGATTTCTGGCACAACTTCATCTGCTTCCAAGGTGCATGGAGAAGATGAAAGAATTCACAAAGCAGGAACTCCAGCAACACTTAAGGGAAGATGAACAACTTTAATAATTGACCAACGCGTTTTGGCTTGTGGCCTTCATCAGGGTCACAAGCTGAAACGCGTCGGTCAATTATTAAAGTTGTTCATCTTCCATCCAGAATCAGAAAACTTTATTGATCACTAAGGAAATGATGTAGGTTACAGTTGCTCCAAGACACTAACAGACTAAAAAATTAAACAATACAATTTGTCACAGATTTTACAAATTTAAGAAATAGCACTAATTTATGCAAATCACTCAGTTATACCTATAAGGATTAGGAATAGGTGGCACCTAAGGCAGGGCACATGCTTAGTGTCTGACCTCACAGATGTGCTTCAGGAAAAATGGTCGAAACCTCCTGAACCTTCTCTGGAAAACCTTCCCAGAAGAGTTGAAGCTGTTATAGCTGCTAACGGTGGGCCGACATCATATTAAACCCATGGATTAGAAATGGGATTTTAGCCCAGTTTACATGACCAAATACAGGCAGACGACTAAATACTTTTGGCAATATAGTGTATAAACATTTTCACGTTTTTATGTTTGTTTATTAGCAATACAGCAACTAAAGGGGTTTAAAATTGGCGTGTTGTGCTGTGTGCTGTTCCAGACCTCCAGTACAAATTGCAGTAGATGGGCATACATCAGCTCCGGAGACGGTGCCCCTAGGTGGGATCACTGCACCCGGTCTGCCTAGCTACAACGATGCCCTGAACCACAGTGGGCAGCACGATGCTCCACCACCACCATATTCAGGGTAAGTGGAAGGCAAAGCGTGCACACACAAGGAACACTGGAAAGACTGACTACCAAGAGTACTAAGACATTCTGGTGAGAGAAGCACAACACATGTTGTGTATTTATACACGGGAAGGTGACTAATTGGAAACAGGTGTAACAAATTCAACACAAGTGAAACTGATTGAGTAAAGACACAATTACAAAGAAGGGAAAGCAAGCAGGTTGCAGATGAGTGTTTAATTTAACTGTCAAATGTACTCATGTTTGCAGTAAATGAAATGGCATACAAATTTGAAATATTTGTATAGATATTGGCACTCGGTGTCCCAGGCAATGTCTAAATAACTTTGGTCCACTTATCTAGAAGATGAAGAACATGGAACCATCCATATATGCACTACACTGATTATAGTATGATAATCAATGACAATCATGATGCGAGAAAGTCTATATGAGTGGTGTAAAGTGGTGTATGCAGTGGTGTTTGCAAGTGTATGGTATGTGTTGTATGTGCACATCGAAAATGAAATGATACTTCAAACAATACCAAATGTGTGTGATGGCATGAAGAAAGCAATCACACATTCAATTCAATTCAATCCAATTTTATTTATACAGCTCAAAATCACAACAACAGTCATATTGTGCAGTAGATCGTACAATAATACATAGAGAAAAACCCAAAAATCATATGACCCCCTATGAGCAAGCACTTTGGCGACAGTGGGAAGGAAAAACTCCCTCTTAACAGGAAGAAACCTCCAGCAGAACCAGGCTCAGGGAGGGGCGGGGCCATCTGCTTTGATTGGTTGGGGTGAGAGAAGGAAGACAGGATAAAGACATGCTGTGGAAGAGAGACAGAGATTAATAACAGATATGATTCAATGCAGAGAGGTCTGTTAACACATAGTGAGTGAGAAAGGTGACTGGAAAGGAAAAACTCAATGCATCATGGGAATCCCCGGCAGCCTACGTCTATTGCAGCATAACTAAGGGAGGATTCAGGGTCACCTGGTCCATCCCTAACTATATGCTTTAGCAAAAAGGAAAGTTTGAAGCCTAATCTTGAAAGTAGAGATAGTGTCTGTCTCCTGAATCCAAACTGGAAGCTGGTTCCACAGAAGAGGGGCCTGAAAACTGAAGGCTCTGCCTCCCATTCTACTTTTAAATACTCTAGGAACAACAAGTAGGCCTGCAGAGTGAGAGCGAAGTGCTCTAATAGGGTGATATGGTACTACAAGGTCATTAAGATAAGATGGGGCCTGATTATTTAAGACCTTGTATGTGAGGAGCAGGATTTTGAATTCTGGATTTAACAGGAAGCCAAAACAGGAGAAATCTGCTCTCTCTTTCTAGTCCCTGTCAGGACTCTTGCTGCAGCATTTTGGATCAGCTGAAGGCTTTTCAGGGAGTTTTTAGGACTTCCTGATAATAATGAATTACAGTCGTCCAGCCTGGAAGTAATAAATGCATGAACTAGTTTTTCAGCGTCACTCTGAGACAGGATATTTCTAACTTTAGAGATGTTGCACAAATAGTTCAGTTCTCTTATTTGCTTTCAAACTAACTGCACCCCCGTCTTTCTAAAAACCTTTTTTTAAATAGGAACGGAAACAGCTGGACGTTCATTGATCATGCTGCTATTCACAAAGTTTTTCTTCCTGTCTTTGACCACAGGGGTGCGCCGTCGGTATCTGCTGATCCAGGTGACAATGAATGAAAGCCCTGCAGGTCACTGTGTGAAACCTTGACACTGATGGTTTGGGGAAAATTTCTGGTTGTTTTTTAAAATATACATATTTTCCTTAGGAGTGCAGTTCAAAGACAGTCCCAAAGTGGACCGTAGCTAATCATTTGTCACTAGTCTGATCACTTAAGACTTCGTTTTTGTGCTGTGTTTGTGCATTTGTGTTCAAGAAAAACCAAGATGCATTTTATATAATAAATCATGTAACAATTTCACACGCCTCCAGTCATTGTATAACTTGTTGTGACTTGCAAAGCCAGCAAATAAGCATGCAAGTAGTAGATTAAATTAGAATCAAGAGGAAGTTCTTCTGGACATGTTTGCAGCCTTTGTGCTGTTTGTCATAGAAAGGTAAAACTGCTGTAGAAGCTTAGTTTTTGTTTTGTGTTTACAATGGTCTACAGCACACTGCGAAGGCGTGCATGCTTGTAAGAGAGAAGGCGATCACGCCAGCCAAGTCATTCTTCTTAAAAATGGCGTCATGTGAACAAAACGCAAAAAGAGCGAGTAAGCTGCAGCTATCGGAGCAGCGTGAATATAATTTCTCTTACTAAAGCTGCGACGTGGAGCATCTGTTCGGCTTAACACGAGAGACAATAGACAGTTAAATATACGGGGAGAGGAGGGGGGAGGAGGTGCTCCTGTCCGCCGCGGCTCCCCACACCGCCCCCGATCCCCACTCAGTCTACAGGCTTGTCAAGCAGAGGAATAAACAGAATCGGGCGCTGGAAGTGAAGATATCCCTCCCTCCCTCCCGCTCACTATCTGTGCATCTTCATCCAGCTCTTTCTTTCATGGAGAGGAATTATCCCGCTTCGGGCTTCGGAGATCTGGGGACTGGGACGGGATGGAGTTACGAGAGATCGGCCAAAGCAAGGTAAGCTTCGGTGGCCGAAGCATGGGGAGCGCTGTTTTCTGACTGCCGGTAAGCTTAAGAGGCTCTGACAATGCCGTGGCATAGCGCTGACTGCGCCGAGTATTTAGCCCGGCTGCACGGCCACCAGGCTCAGGTACAGCCAGCCGTCATTTCATTGGGGGGAAGGTTAACAGTGATGCGAAGACGGACAGGGGTGAACCGCGGGTTGGTAGAGGACGGTTTCGTTATTGAACAAACCAAAACAGTCCCCCCACATACACACACATGTATGAGTACATCAGTGTTCATTACTGCATTGTCTCCGCTGCACACGAACACAAGCATGACAGCCACGGTCACCGGGCATAGTCCACACATGAAAGCGTGTATGCAAACGAAACACTGTGCCAAACACAGCGCAGTCATGGATACACGAGCCTTTATTCAGTGAAACTAACGCACTATTGCCAGTTCTCTGTAAAAGAGAAACTAATTCATTAACAATAGAACCCAGTGCGGTTGTTTGACTACAACACACAGGCTGGCAGCTACTATTAAGCTGACATTAGCCGCTATCATTAGGCATCTTGAGCATTACCCAGTGTCTGACAGCACATTTCTCCGGAGCAGACAGCCTGTCCCCGTCATAGACACATTACCAACCTGCCCAATAAGGCGGTGACTTCAATCGTAAATAAGAAAAAGCAAAGAAATTCCGCTGCAGGCAGTGATCAGCTGATTCCTTATATGGCTGTGCTGTTGTATAAAACAGGTCTTATTAAAGTTAGCAAGCTCCTGTTAGCCTAGCTGCACATTAGTGGTTGCCTTGGCAACAACAACAGTCTCAGAGCGCTTCTCTGTTAGCAACGGCTCTTATTAAGTCTGGCAGTATGACTGTGATTCCAATAGATTAGTTACAGATTTATAAAAACAAGGCAAAGACTGATTCTTATGCCATCATGTGTATAATATTTGTCTTCATATTTTAAATGTAACGACATGAAGTCAGAAGTAAAGTCTTGGTCAGATGTTCATGTAACGTACACAGCAGCCTTTCAGTGTCTCGCAGTGTAAACATTACATCAGACAACTCTTGTTCCCAGTGTCTTTTCAGTGAATCCCTTCAGTGAAATTAAAAAAAATCACTCTCCGTTGAAAAGCACTTATTCTTGATTCCCCCGAGATGCTGCATTTGACTCCTCTCTCAGTGTTAGTCTCCTCCTGGGACTAGAGTGAAATGGGTGCATGCAGCACCTCCTTGTTTGCCTGCCACTCATAATAGACACGTAATAAGACATCTGTTGACTGGAGCTCATGACTAATGTTTCTTCACTAGTCTGTAAATGGACTGCTTCTTATAGAGCATAATAGACACATTTTTACTCTGAGCATACAACTAATTCATTCACCCAAGAACTTTTTCTAACATTCATACACATTCACACTCCAAAGGATGCATTGCTCAAGGACACTTGACATGCAGATTGGTGGAGCCTGGGATCGAACCACCAACCTTCCAGTTAGTAGCTGACCTGCTCTACCACCTGAGTTACAGCCACCCACCCCGCAAGTCTGTATTGGGCTGAGCTGTGTTTTAGCTCAGTGAGATGAGCAGCCGTTCTGAGACTGGGAGGCTGGAGTTCAAATCCCGCTTATGGCAACATTTCTTTCAGTTCACAGTTAAACTTTTTAAACTATTTTCAGCACAAATCCCAGCTTTTTCAGCTGTTTTCAGCAAAAACCTCTTTCCAGCAAAAATTCTGCTGATTCACCTCTTTTCAGCAGAATTTTAAATCTGGGACTCTCCACCATTTGACCCTTAGAACTGAAGAAGCTTCTCGGATGAGAGGTGAAACGTCTTCAAGCAACTCAAAGAAGTCCAGACGCTTTTCTTTCCAAGCTCCTTAGTCTCTCATTCCTTATATCAAGACTGGAGATCACACTACTGATTTCAGTTCATTTAATATGTGAGTGCACAGATTCATTCTCAACTGGACATAAACGATGATCAAAGGTTGTATATACTGTATGATGAAGTCATCCAATCCCAGCCTCCAACACAGTGCGCTGAATCTTAGCTTTGAATGTCCAGTATATTCCAATCAGTGCAATTTCAGCATTCACTGAACCTACAGTATCTACACCTGTGTGGCAAATGTCTGGTAAAGATACAGATAATGAAATTTAACTGTTAATACAATATACATCATGAAAAATGAAAGCTGAAATTGATTCACTTTAGTACTTTTCTCTGTGTGCTCTGTGATTATATTCAGCACTTTCCACTTCTCCCCCAAAACATGCCTTCCTTCTAAAGTTGTCATTTCAAGAATATTTTCTGTGTTGAGCTGTGCATGACTTGATGTTTGTCACACGAGTCACGGTCATCCTAGTGGGCCCTGGTACTGTCATTATTATGTTCTCTGCAGACAGTTTTGGCTGATGCATATTTGTGCCATGATACGCTGTGTCCAGGCAGGAATTGGACCCAAATGCCTGTGTCTGCCACCGGCTCACTCCTTGGTGGCTGCTTATCGGGGCCTGGAGCCTGGGGCTCGCTCGGGCACCTTCGGAGGTGGGGTGCCCCCGGCCTCTCGGCCTGGGGCTCGGTCACTCAGGCACGGCTGGCTGCCAGCGGAGCTCACGGGCGCGTCACTGCAACTCCCCCTGGCTTCTGCTCCGCGGCTGCTGAGTGAGCCCTCATCTGGGACTCTCCTCAGCTCTTTCTGGGACAGTGGCGCGGCTGCCCCTCTGTTGGTCTTCCTTGGTCTCTTGTGTTCTGGGGGCCTCTGGATGTCTGGAGTTTTGATCTCCTCCATACCTGCTTCATGCCCTGGAGGACGGGGCTGTGGCCCCCCCACACCCTCTAGCAGATCATTACATGAAGGAACCTTTTAAATACAAGCGCGTCCATGCTCACAGGTGTGCACACGGGTGATCACACCCACAAACTACACCCTTTTTGGCTCCTACCTCAAAGCACACTGTGTTCTGTTGATCTTATGAGCTGCACAATAATGTTTAATATTTAGTATTTACTGTTACATTCCCATAGATCATCGTGATGTTGTTTATTGTATTGCTCTCTTTTTCTTCTTTCTTTCTCAACAGGTGATCCAGGTGATTGATAGATGCATTTTTTGTCTGCTTATTTTGTTGGTTTTTGTTTTTTGCCCTTTATCCCCATCCCTCTTCCCCGCTGTTTTTCTTTCCCTTTCTTTCTCCCCTTTGTTTTCCCCACTCAAGTCTGTCCCGTATTTAACAAGTGGAATAAAAAAAAAGGTGAATCAAATAGACCATTACGGCAAGGCCGGGATGGTCCATTTGGTAAAGTAAATCCGTTGGGCATCTTTCTTCGCCTTTAGACAATAATTCTGATGCAAAAGAACCAAACGGGACAGGCAAGAAAAAAAAAAAAAAGGAATTGGACCCAAATGCAAGCTCACGGAGCTGGGAAATACTAACTCGGAGAGACACAGGGAAAGTCACACAGTTTGAGGAAGGACGTGACACAGAACTGAGGGAGACACAGACATAAATACACAGAAGGATAACGAGGGACGTGGGAGCACATGGGGAGCACAGGTGACACTGATAATCTTAATGAGACAGGGCAGGCGCAAACACAACGTGACGTACACTGACGGGAGACTATCAAAGTAAAACAGGAAGTACACAGAGACACAGACAGGAAGGGAAGAGAGAACACAGGGAGAGCACAGACATAGCAGGCTGGGGAAAACACAAGGAGGAGAAATGAGGCATGGGAACTCACAGATACACGGAGGGGGGACACAGGGGGTAAGGAAACGAGGGGCAATCTAATATGCAACATCTAAACAGAATAACCTAGTGACTCAGCTACGCTCCAATCCCTCCATATTGTGGCCAATCAGATGCCAGGATATAGGATAATATCATTATGTGAAAAACAGAGAGGGTGAGAGACGCGACAGTCAAGTGGAGCGTGCGTCTGTCCTCTCAGTGAATGAGTGAGACAGTAGACAGCGGTGAGGAGGGCTGTGCGAGAGCAAAAACACATAAATGTGCCTGACACCCGTAAACGAAGCAGCAGCTGGCTGCAGTTTAAAGACTTTTTTTGTCTCTGTCTTGGTCTCGATACCCTCTGGTCTTGGTATTGTCCTGGTCTTGGTTTAGGCGGTCTTGACTACAGGTCTAAAGTGAAGACATGGCTGTGCATTGCAAAGTCATTAATTGCACATGAGTTCCAGCGCGTCATGGACTAAAGTAAAACAGTATGTTGGATGTGCCACGCAATGCTCAATTACTTTGGTGGGAACTAGTGTGTTAGCGCAGTTAGCTCGTTAACGTGTTGGCCATCTAGCCCCATGCACGGGGCGATCAGGGGTAGCTCGTTAACGGAGATTTGCCGTGTTGTGGCGTTAACGTCATTTCAACGAGATTTACGCTGACAGCACTAGTGGGAACACAACGAATATGACTGCACATTTACTCCGACATCATCCTAGTGCAAAGACAAAAACAACAAGCATGCTACTAACTTTAGCCGAGTCATTTAGACAGCTGTTAGCACATGATTCTCCTTATGCTGCTGAGAATATAGCCCAGAAGAAGCGGATAGTATAGCTTTTATTTTGGAAAGAGCCATTTCTCTGTAATAAACTCTCTTTTCCAAAGATGAGTGATTCCTCAATCAGATACAGGGCTTGCAATATCGCTAGCCCGACGTCCCGGGGCTAGTGATTTTTCCAGTCGGGCTACCAAAATCTATCTCTTCCCTGCCCGTCGGCCTATCGTAGGAAGGAAAAATATATGTCAATGCTTTTGCATTCTTTCGGAAATGTAGCTGGGTAATTATGTCATTGGCATTGGTGAGCCACTGTCAATATGTGACATATTGAAGTCGCGTTTGAATTTGCGCTTGTTTTTTGCTTTCACTTTGCAATCGCGTGAACTGTGTATAGAGAGCGACAGCACTGATCTGTGAGTGATGATAATTTGTGCACCAATTCCTCTGACATCGTCTTATTAATCGTTAG